ATGAGTTTTCGTCACATGACATCGTTTTGCATACTAAATGAGACGTAAAGGCGTTTCCGGTTCCGTTTTTTTTTTTTTAAACAAACCGGAACAATACTACTGGAACAATACACCAAAAAACTAAAATTTAAGGCGATAACATTGTGCGATTTCAAAATGGATCTAATAAAGTGGCAATTGAACTTCGTGTCGTGCAATTTTGGTCTGAAATCATACTTGTGATTTCAGACCAAATTGCACTCCACTCAGTTCAATTACCATTATTAATTGCCTGATTGAATTACTTGGTTTTATTGCGTGGTTTAATCTAAGCCCGCTCACGTATTACCGCGGCACTTCCCTTTTAGCATATAATTATATTCCACTGAAGAAGTTAACGTTGCTTGGTTGTTGTATCATTTTCACGGGGTTTGCCGGCTGATCGGTCAAATCCCACTGCGACCGCCTCTCGGCTCCGCGGCAATAAAACCACGCAATGATTAAAGTTGTCATTTTTGTGTCAATAAATTTCCAGGCTTATGGCGAAAACCTGAAGACATTCCGCGATCAGGTGACCCCGGAAGAAAAACTGCTTTTCTCGAATGAGACTCTCGACAAGGCCCTATTCAAAGACGCTCCAAAGGTATTGTTTGCTCTTAACTGAATTATATATGGTCTTAAAAAACGGATTCATGATTCATGAAGAAAATGCAAAATAAATAAATGCTTAACGAGTGTAGAATCGGCTAAATTTTACGTCCGATTTTCAAGGTCAAAATGCCCCAAAATATAATATTAGTGTAAGATTGGATAGATATACAGTGAAGTTTTTGTTAAGTACTTTACACAATTCGCGATTTGTTTTGTATAATTAAGTCCTGAAACACTCGGCTGCGCCTAGGCACGATTACCAGCCACTGTTTCGGAAAATGAGCTCACACTCACCCCCCGAAAAGATCCTTCTCGAAGAGGACCCGAGTGAGCGGCGAAAATCGAGCGTACGCTGCGCTTTGTGTTTTAAAACTTGATACAACACTCCTGCATGCTCATTTAGTAAACATTACTCGTTTTCCCTGTGTGAAAATTCCCTTGTCTACTTAATTCATCACCAACTCAAGCATCACCGCTAACGCCATAACCAGTACCAGTAATAGCAACATTAACATCATTACCAGCAACTCCATCATTATCATCATGGTCAGCACCGGGTTACGGGTATCACTACCACCAGTGCTTTACAAAAACAAGCAACTTTGCCAGCACCATTGCCTTTATAGGCGCTGTCACAATGACCATCAGCGGTACAATCACAATGGCCATGGAAACAACAGCAGTTATTTTTAAAATAAGGACGTCGTTAAGGTTCTTAGGTAGCAAACATGAAAAGCGAATTTTGACCCTAGATAAATGGTGGGATGATGGTCGGATAGTTGTGGACTCAGTGCCCTATTCCCCCTCCTTGCCGGGAAAAGGGACTGGTCAGACGGTGAGGCGTCTTCAGTCTGGTAACTCTGCTAAGAAATTTTAAACTATCGAATTAAATTTTCCCAGCAGACAATTCCTGCACAGAGACGAATGTTAACTAAAGCATCCAAGACGGAATCCAAAATGGCATTGATGATGAAAAAGGTATCTCATGATGATAATGATGCTAAGGTCTTTGAAGAAATCGAGAAGACATTAAACAAACACGAGGAGAGCTGGAAAGTGTTTTTCAGAACCCTGGGGGAACAAGTTTGGAATGTTCCCAACTTCGTTCCTATGATGAACATCCAAAGTGAATGGGAGTTTACCAAAGGATTGCTTGATGAAGTAAGTAGGATCTATTGTCTAACTATATAATTGAGGAACATCTACAGATAATTTTTCTTCTACAAATGATGTGTGGCAAAAGAAAATCGACAAATCTTAGTATCTGCGGATAGTGAGACCTTGCTGTTAAATTGGATCACTGATTTCACCTAAAAACCGGAGCACAACGGGTGAGGGGTCATATCAGAAAAGTAAAGTTCATCGGTGTGCAAAATTACCGATCCAATACTTACCAGTTAATAGCGGAGCCCCATACTCATATAGGAAAGAAAAGGAAAGCCATGAATGGATTTTCTCATGGTTATAATGGCTAGCGGTATTGCTCGTGGGCGCGCGCGCACGACGGCGACGACGACGACGACGGAGTCGTGCAACATGGCGGCCATACTCCAAATAACACTGAGGTTGACAGAGACGTGCAGCCTTGGTTTACCGTGTACTTCTTTGATATTGGACATCCATGTTATGGTCAATTGACACCTGTCAAAACAAGATATCCGCTGACCATTATCACGTAACCATATCGCGGGCTCAAGTTTACAGTTCATGCCACGTGGTCACGAGGTCACGTGTTTTTTTTTAAGTTGACGGCTGACCAAGGCTGGTTTTCGGTTGGATCGCGGGCTCATTTCAGATTAACTTGTTGAAAACTAGGTAGGATTATTCGGAAGCCGGTTAACGCTAACCCGGGATTAAAAGTTAAATCAATTCTGACTCTTTCTTCTAGACAAATGTTTTTCGCTACTTTGTTTTGTGTATGTGGTGATTATTAAAACTCAAAACAGAAGGCCAAGCAATATACGGAAAACCTCACAGCAAAGTTACAAAACTCAAATCAAAATTCTACCTTTTCCTGGGTTAGCTTAATCGGATCTGAACAACCCCGCCCGGGAGCTACGCTTTTAGGCTAGCCTAAATCTATATATTATTTCATGTCAGTTGCTTTTTTGCACTCGGCGTTTGGCAACATTGTTCAAATAGAAATGGGCAACGCCGTAAGGATCGTCCATTACATCGATCGCTACGGTAATTACATCTACGTTCTGTAAAACCATACTTTTTGCACTGTGTAATGAAGCTACAGTAAACAATCAAATAATTGCACAAGATTCTCACACGTGGCAGTCACTCCGTTATTGTGCCTACATGTTGGGTGCTATTTCCTCGCATTTTTTTGTCAGTACATCTGTTGTCAACTGCGCTTACAATGAACGAATCTTCTTGTATTTGATTGCAGCTGGGTGACAAGGTTAAAGAGCATCCTAAACTCTGGGTGGATGCAACTTTGTACCAAGACATGTTCATGTAAGGCAAAGCAAGGTAAGGGTTTGCTATTCGTTGTTCACGACGGATTTAAATTCCAGACTAAATTCGCTGAAATATCATTTTGGAGAAAAACGAGACCGGCAAACTTAATGGTTATCCGTTTTGTTTACTCTCGGCGATTGACGAGGCGATTAGAAAATGATTTTACATTCATAAGAAATAATGATAGCATTTGCTCTCGAGTTCCATCTACCGCTTCAGTATTCAGGGGCGGATCCAGACAATCCAGAAAGAGGGGGCCGAAGAAATTGCGGCGTGTCCCTAACGGAAATTGACTTCAGTCAAAATGCTGCTTACAGCATTCGGGAAGCATTGTGATCAAAATAGAACCTCCTGATGCAAAATTCCGCGCGAAACATGGTTAGTTAGAGTATCTTTTTAAAAAGTCAGGATAAAACGGAAGGGGGGAGGTTGGGATAATCAGCGCTCACTGAACTGAACTGGCTATCACCAGAATTAAGACAAACTGCAAGCTTAACTGTGTTTAAGAATTTCAAAGATTGATTTAACATTATTACTATGAATCTGAAGTAATCACGGTTGTTTCATGCGAGGCAAGTCGTTAATTTTACAGAGTTTTGACTACTGTTTGATTACAGGCTCCTTAAACCAAGAAAGAGAAGACTGATCAAGAAATCAAGGGTTAAATTCCGAGAATCTTTGTTTTTTTTTATATCCTTAGAATTTATAGTTAGTTAACGCTAGAAACTTGTAAGTGTCTGTTAGGCTTGGAGATCCTAGTCCGTTTGTAACTTTTTGTAATCTAATTAGCACAGCCTCCCGATTTTTGTCCCTTACAGTCTAGTTCTGGCCCTTAACTTTCTCACGTAACGCTACGCTCTCTCCCATGAGCGTAGCGCTGCGTGACATAGAGAGGGGCCAGAACTGGACTATTGCCCTTATGGCTATAAAATAGCTCAATATCAGGTATAGATAGAGTGATTATTGAGAAACCACATTTCCCTGTCTTAGATTAGCTAATGCAACAGTTAGTAGAACTGTTGATGTAATCTTCGATTGAACGACGGGAACTGAAAAGCAAAGTACTTTAATTGTCACAGACGTAGAAAAATCGACGAGAGGAGAAGCGTCAACCCTAAAACCCCAAGAGCCTCTTAGTTCAAGCTGTCATTTTTGAAAACAGAACACTGCTGCAACGTTGAGACTAAGCATTTAGTGCCGGCCTTAAAGATTAAATTCCTGGCTTAAAAAGAAAAAAAAAGTCATTGTTACGGTGACGCTTGATCCGCAAAACCCTGAGATAGTCTTAGTTTTCTCGTCGATTAGCTAGGGTCCTCAAAATAGTTAGTATTGCTGCACATTTTACACAGTTTGAGGTTAGTTTAGATCAGCTGCTCGATTAGTCGTTACCTACTGTACTCCTCCTTTTTTGAAATAAAGTTGTTTCGGTTCGTTTGGTCTTTGTCTTTATCTTAATTTTGAAAACCTAGTCGTTTGATCAAGACTTTTGTTTCCTGGGTATTCTTGGTACAATACCGGACTACAAATGTGGGCAAATATCTTTGGTTGTCGCACAAAAATTGCTTTTTATAGTTAATTAGCATTGAAAGGTTGATTTCCAGTCGCATTGCCACATTATTTGCGCGAGGTTAAGCCCATAGACTCGAAGTAGAAACACGACGCTTTCATAATTCTGGAGCGGTAGCTGTCCCTTTGGAAACAGTCATGATTGGCTCCGCCATTCACTCAATTCTAACAACTTATTTACTGTCGCACACAAAGACGAGGTAGATATTTGCCAACACTTTTTCCGATCTCGAAAGACCAAACTAAATGGGTGGACTATAACTTTGGCAGCAAATATAAAACGAAAGGCTCAACATTAACCTTCTTTTCGTTATCTTTGAAATGCCTATTACATGATGTGCCGCGCGCAAATAACGCCGACTTTTTCTTATATTATAGTTTCACCCAGTCAACGCAGTTGTTAGAGCTCCAGATACTAGATTTTTAAATATTTCTTTCTCACCAACTTTCGCGCGGCTAGCCTAGCTAGAAAATGTGGTAAAACCCGTTCGAGGAGGCGAACGGGAACGCATGTTACGCAGGCTATTCTTGCCATGTGTACATCCACCCCTACCCCCTGTTTTTCTGATAGTGAATGTGAATCGTCACATATTTAAACTGCGGATAGAATGAACATCGCAGTGAACTGTAATATTATATACCGCACATATCACTTAATGTCTCATGATTGTCTCATGGCGGTTCACAATTCCCCTTGGTTATGAGACCGGACGTCAGCATGTCAAGGTGCTTTTGACAGCTGCTATCGGTCTATACATGATTCCACCCAGCCTCGTTCCCAGGGTCTTTCTTCTTCCCGTACCCTGGCTCTAGGGAACGGGTTCCATGGAAGAAAAGAGACCCTGGGAACAAGGTTGAATCCCACCCCACCCACCCAGCCCATGACATAAATGATTCAGATTGAGGCACTGGGTCACTGCCAAGGTTCATTATCGCTAGTGGTTCCTTAACGTCCCACAGAATCAAGTGAGAACAAGTGATGTGAGACGGGGCTGACGGTTTATCACCCTTATCAGAGGGTCTGGATGGGATAAGATAAGATAAGATAAGATAAGATAAGGGAAGTGGTCAAAACTATTATACATATAAGGGACCCACTAGAGTAACTTGAGACTACTGTCTCTTCCTATAGCCCCCTACCCTTATCCAGATACCAACGGTTTCTTTTATAGC